TTGGCAAGTCTTGACTTTTGCATGGCGACGAATGCACATTCTATACAGCCCCACCAAGCGCCTCGATTGTGATGTGGTGCATCGAGATTCGAAGCTACCGCTGAGTTGAAGCGTAGACCACGTCGCCATCTACTAGCGTGTAGAGCACCTGAGCGGCCCGTAGCTGAGCTGGCGGCGTCCTGCCTTCATCCATGACGTCTCTATCAAACACGACCAGATCAGCCCGAAAGTCTGGATGTATAGCGCCGCTGATGTGTTCCTCAAATTGCGCATATGCCGCTGCTCTCGTGAAGCCGTGCAAAGCTTGGGCGCGAGTGAGTCGCTCCTTCGGAAACCTATTGGAGGCGAAGGAGTGAGGTCAGCCTTCAGCGCCAGAAGGCGTTTGAGGAAATGGGTCCACATTCTCACTCACCACCCCTTTGAGCCGTGCGGAGAGTGGCCCTGCGAGTCGAGGCGTGTGATGGCAGAGTACAAGCCGTGCATAGGATTGGGAAGCTCCACGGGAAAGTCAGAGCCCAGCGCGAGTAGCCCGCCGGCACTGCAAGAATAAGGCACAAATCAGCATTCTCCCATAAGACGCGTTCCGGAGGGCAGCTCGGTCAATCAGCCTCACCTGAGTACAGACTGCCACGCATATGCGCCTCTGGACCTCTCTAGACCAATGCGATCCTCTACATAGCCCATGTCGGAGGTGCAATGTGTCGGCTGCATGCTAGCAATGACTCCGAGCGAACCAAAGCGAGCCGTGTCGTTCAAGCGCAATAATTGAGCGTGCTCGACTCGCGGTCTCAGATCTTTGCCCTTGTGCGCCGATGAAGTGAGAACTGCCTCGTACGCGTCAAGCACGATGGAGTTTGCACGATCACCAATCGCGTGCGTTGCGACTTGCCAAGCTGCATCCACCCAATGCTGAATCAGAGGTTGTACATCAGCCTCGTTTATTAAGAGCAAACCATTCGAGGTCGGCCGATCAGCGTATGGGTCCCACATTGCGGAGCCCCAAGATCCAAGAGCGCCATCTGCGAACAGCTTGACGGTTCGCACCGTCAGACGACT